CCAGCTTGCTCAAAGGTGCTCCCACGACCAGACAAAAGTATGCAGGGCATGGATAGATCTGCGTGCGTGCGGGCATTGGGGTCCGTTCATTTGGCAGTTGCGGTACTCGGAGGTGGGGATGAGTTCAGAAGACATATGTCTCCTGTTGATTCTCTTTTTGGAGCACTGATCCTTTTGCTCCACGTTGGATTTCCTGTCAGGCACTTCGCGCGCACGGTCTGAGGCGCGGGCCTCCTTTGACTCCTTGGGATTCCAGAAGTTGGAGTTCGAGGAGCGGAGTCGATCCCTCTGCCGACGTTGCGATGTTTTTTTGGTGTGGGGGACGTGCTGAAGACCGTTTTTGCTAGGGATGCAAAGGCAAGAGGCTTTCTCCTTCGATCCCTTCGATGGGATTGATCGATCCGAAGTATGTAACGACAGAAGGGGTCAGCTCAAAGGGAACCAGGAACCACCAAAGAATCGGGTGCCTCTCTTTGCGAATAGCCCTGAAGAAGCTGTGACCATTTCCTTGTTCAGATTTCTGATTGACGCCCAAGATATACGAAGCCTCCTGGATTTCCAATTGCTCGCGAACAGGTTCTGCTCATCAGCGGAGAGAGTCAGTTCACAGTTCTGGTTGCACTAGTGGCAACCAATTGCCTTTCAGCTCTACCTCAGCCTTAGAAGGCTGCTCGCCCGCGCGCCCATCAGGCGGGAGAGCCGCGGGGCGGGCTGCGGCATTTGCTTGAATCTGATGTTTATAGAGCGCAATTTAATTGCCCCGCCGTGGCTGGACGGCGACCTCCGTGCCTTTGAAACGACCGTACTCTGACACGAGTTTTGTTGTGAATATGATTTTGAACAGGACCTCAAGAGTGGTTGGTGGACGCAAGTTCCCATGTAAATGATGTCCGCTGACGGATCCCGGCCTTCCGTTGGCATTATGATGGAGGCCCTTGGCTCGTAGCAGTGCAGGATGTCTTGGCTGAAACGGCGGAGGCCTTTGATAGCAAGGGACGATTGTGGGACTGACCGCATTTGTAGATGTGACTTACGTTCACTCATGGTTTTTAAGCACACCAACGATACAACTATCCCTGGTTATGAAGCCCAGAAAGCTGCGTCGTTTCATTCAGAACAGCGCACTCTATCAAGGTTTGGATCAGTCTTTTCTATTCATCTTGATTTGTATTTGTTTTACTCTACATATATTTTATGCCCATGTTGTCTGCAGAAAACGTCGGTCCGTGAGACGACTGAGCAACTTTCTGCCAGACCAGTTTATTCCATAGCTGCCTGTATACCATGGATGGCATTGTTAGTATCTTGCAAGGGGCTGGACGTGTCACTTAGACAACGGCTTGTCTGCAGGCAAGCGTTGCATTCGCGGTGCGACTTATGCATGATTTTGCACATGATTGAAGTTGATCGCAGGATGTGGCAATGGGCTGTTTGGATCATATGGATCAAGCCTTTTTCCTCATTGTCGCTTGTTGTGCAGAAACTGTACAAACTGAAACTCAAGCCGGTGCAGTAGGAGTCACCTGTTAAATTACCCATTTGTTTGGCGGTTAAATCCGAACTTCTGCCCAACCTACTTGCAGTGCTCCAAAGTGTCATTGGTAAATGTAGCTTGTGCTTCTTGCTTTTACCAGACTTCGGAGTAGTGCCTATTTGAGTGCTTAAAGCTTTCATTTCTTCCAGTATTTCAAGCGGAAATTGGCTACTCTTTCATCCACGTACGTGGTCATCCCTCGCAGTTTCTTGGTCACCGGCATCAGAACCATGCCGTGGTTTTGGGTGGAGGGACACTTCTGTCATGTGAGAACGTGTCGCTGCCCCTGGCACCAGGCTTGTGCTTGGTTTCACCTTATCGCAAGATAGCAACACGTACTGACGTCACGACCATGGGTTCAGCACGAGCTGCAGATATGAGCAAGACAGCAACAGAACGGTACAGTTCCATCAGCGCTTTGTGTCGGCCTGCATGCTAATGCGGCATTGTCATCGGTAGAGACTGAGCACGTGATTTTTTGTGCCACCTGGCTGCGGGGGAAAAAACATGTGCGCCAGGAATTTCAGATGTTAAGCCTTGTGACCTCGGAATCAAGCTCGCTGATTGAAGGTGTTTCCTCCAAAGAAGGATGCCCTCTAGTAACCAACCAGTTGCCTTCTAATCCAGGGTCCCGACATGAACCAACTAGTTTCCGGAGCACATGTCCCGGAACTGAGCGCCAAGAGCATCCCGTGCTTTGCAACGCTTAGCTGACCCCTTTTTTTGCCCGTTGTCATTCTGGGTTACTTTCAAAGGAGAGAGTCCCGGACTGTCTGCAAAGTCGGCAATCATTGTTTCCATTTCAACCAAGGCTGCGGGATGCAGTGGGCAGTTTCGGGATTGCGGGTTGGCCCACACCAAGGCGAGCCATGATGATGACGCAGCCGATGGTGCCCATGGGCTTTGACCCCAATGCCGCATATTGGCAAGGTCGGACACCTGCCTGTTTGCTTGTTTGCTTGCTTGCTTGTTTGCTTGCTTGTTTGCTAGCTTGTTTGTTTGTGTGAATAACATGCGGACCACATGTGCAGTTTTTTAGGTAGTGCACACACATGCATTGCCATTTGGCTTAAGTCTCATGAATCGTCTCACAATCGTCATTGTGAGGCATTCAGGGCAAAAAAGTTGAGCTCGCGGGAGGCTTGCGGCTCTGAGGATATGGATCATTGCAGGTTTTCCGGAGGACAACACAACCACTGTTGTCGGGGATACCAAAGAAACCCCTCGAATTCTCAGGTTATCAGCCGTAGGGTTTGTCCCACGTGCTGTGAGACAAAGATTGATTCGAAGCGAGAGGTCTTGCACCCAGCTTCATATTGAATCAACCGATATATTGCCAAGTGGCGCAACGCTTACGTGACAATGTCCGGTGGGAGATCTTCGATTACATTCGCGGCACCTGCTGCCGGATTTTTTTTCAAGGAACACCGGAATCAGCCGGTCATGGGAGCGGAGACACTATCGTGGTAAATGCTGGGCCTGCGGCAGCAAGCCATCCGTAAATCTCGTAAGGGAGAAAAGTCATCCTTTCCAAGGGGTTCTCCAAGTGAGCCCAGAAGTGCGGATCAACAACTTGATGATGATGCACGGAAAGCCCAACGGAAGGCGGAAATACAGATGAGCGAAGCTGCTGAGCAGCATGATGAGAACGCATTGAAGGAGGAATGTGCATCGTTGCGATCATGGAGTCCGATGAGGCGGGAAGCCTGCAAAGGATCCTGGGGCTCAAGAGAATGAATCATACCTGGAATCTCAAGTTGCGCATGTTCATGGGGGAATGAGAGATGCATACAACTTGGCGATGGGCCAGCTGAATATCAAAGCAAGTAGGCTGAGTGAACTTGAGGCAATGGCCTACGACTACAACAGTGAGAGTCAACAGCTGCGAGCGGAAAATAGTGAGTCAGCTTCGTTACGGAAAGCGATCAAAGCCACCAATGAGTATCAGTCCATGATCAACACTGGTACCGATTAGCGGAGCAGGTTGAGCCATGAGAACGAACAGCTTCGAGAGACGATGAAGCAAGAAGAGTCGGCGCTGCAAGCCAAGCTGAGAGGCGCGGAACTGTACCACAACAACATAGTCACCAACAAGGATGGACAGATCCAAACCTTGAGGGATCAGACCAACACTTGTCCGGAAGCGAATCAAGAGAAGAATGGTTTCGATCTGCTGAGAAACTGGCCGATCAGAGCTGAGGCCGTAAAGGTTCAGGCCAGCTGCGAGGCGAGAAGGAAAGTGAATGACGTCGAGAATAAAGCCAAGCTGGAGGTGGGTCACTTAAGCAGCCACTTGAGTCTGGAAAAGATAGCCGCGCGAGGTGTCCGAAGCTAGGAAGGGGAGTTGAAATGGCAGAGGCGCAAGCCGAATTGATGAAGAAAAACACGAGCAGGATTGAGAGCATGGCTCAGAAACAATACGAGTCAATGCAGCATATCAATGACTCTCCAAGAGAAGAGCGTGGGAAGCCTAAAGTCTGAGTACTTGGCTGCCAGGGACAATGAGAGAAAGGCAGAGGACGAAGCCAGAAAGTCATTGATAAAGGCTCGAAAGGCGGACTCCATAGCTCAGACTAGGGACGAGGAGTCAGAACAGCACCACCGACAGGAATAGTACCAAGGTCAAGGAGTGGATCGCCCGAAAACCACGTCTCCTGTCAAGCCTGCTACCTCTTCCGAAGCGGTTACTGAGACTAAGATTTTGAGAAAGGAGGCGGAAACGATCAGCGTGTCTTCGTGGCGAAAGATCGATCAACTGGACATGTGTGGTGATCCTGATAGCGAGCTTTGGTTGACATGGCTTGCGGAATCCTGCTGGCCCCAAAGCCAGCGTTGAAAGTCTGTCCGACAGTGGCGGTTCGAGACATGCTGGTGTTAACAGCAAGTTGGTGATTAGCATGGATAAGATGATCAAATCCGCTGGAGATCAGGCGAGTGAAGTAGCCCTAGAGGTCCAGCAGCTGGTTGCCAAGCTGATCAAAGTAAGAAGGGGTATCAAAGGGAGACAAATCTACTCATGGTGTTGGAGAGTTTTCCCTGAAGGCGAAGTCCGAAGCGAAGGATGCCTAGGATTTGGCACTAAGTTTCGGGGGAGATCACCTTACAAGTCCAGAGAGCAATCCCCTGGTGGAACGAAGAATGTGTCATGCCAACTTCACTTCTTTCGTGGAAAGTGCACGAAGGGCTCATGCGGTCATCAGAAGAGTACTTACACGCTCGAATGGAAGAAGAAGTTCGAGGAAGGTCCCAAGTGCAGTAATTCATCAGCCGGGGAACCCAAGAACGATGGCGTTTGCTCGTTTTGGAAGAAGGGAACCTGCAAGAAGGGGAAGGACTGCAAGTTCGAAGAACTCAGCACCGGCAGAGAAGGATTCCGACGCTGAAAGTGAAGCGGGATCCGAGAAGAAAAAGAAGAAGAAGAAGGCGAAGGCAGCGCCGGTGATATCCACAGAGTCGCTGTGGGAAGACTCCGAGAGCGAAGCAGAGTCGACTTGTAGCGAGGAAGACATCGCGGATAGCGATGCTGAGACCGAATGCGCGCCCGCAACCCTGAACGCCAAGCTGTATTTTCCTTTTGAAAGGGGGAAAGGGGGAGAAGAGCGTGGTATTCCAGGATTGGGTTGGGTGATGTAAGCAACAAAGAGTTTCCTGAGAGGTATCGCAGTGATGATCACGGAAAGAAAGGTGTGAGTGCCGAGTATGCCAAGGACCAGTGTCAAGAAAGCGTAATCGCCGCTATTAGACCTGCGAAAGCTGGAGAATTGAGAACCACGTTTGTGATTCGCAGACTTCTCTCAAAGTACCCCTGTCCGATGATTATACGATGGAAATGATTCTCATTGGAGACGACCATGAGAAGATTGACTGCGTGATAGAGCAAGGGAGAAAGGACATGAGAGAAACCCAACATGTGATTGCCATAGTCGGGTAAGCCAAGAAAAATAAAAATGGCTCATGGACTGATCTGAAGGGACTAAAGGTGGCGAACAAGCTAGGCCTCAATCCAGGGATGAGTGGGGTGACAGAGACCGATCAGAAAGTTGATCTGCTTATCGATGAGATCAAAGACACGATATCACCATTCGTGATGGAATCTATTGGCAAGAGGTGTGCTGAAAGTGGTTGTGGTTTTATGTGGATGCCCGGGGAAGAACCTATCATGATCGGAAATCGGTGATACGCCTTCGTGTTAAGGATCACATTCCTTACCTGGTGAGACGGTATGAACCGTTGGGGAATCTCACGGAATCTGCTCTCGAAATCTTGGATTACCCCGAGAATCATGCGGAAGATCTGTCTGGAGGATTGACTTCATCGCCGGACGAGACACCAATTGCGGCACCGGCGGAGGAACCCGGCGAGGAAGAGGGAGGTGATGCCGATGAAAGGGACGAGGGCGGAGGTAGCGACGAAGATGAAGTTGAATTCGATGTTGAAGCTGGAAGGGGTGTGAAGAGAAAATTCGTTGGAACACATGGTTACCCATAGGTTTGCTAACCCCTATTGCGATGCATGTGTCAGAGCGAAGATGCAACACTTCAAGACCAAGAAGGGTGCGTTCAAGCAACAGCTCAAGAAATGGGGAGACCTTGTGACATTGGATTTCCTAACGGCAGAGAGAGTAGGGCAACTGGGAATTGAGACGGACACCAATGTCTTCGCGGCACGAGACATATACTCTGGGGTAAGGATGGCGTATCCTACTTCGGATGGTTCCGCAGATGAGGTTGTCAGATGCATGAAGGAGTTCATGAGGAGACAAAAGATTCGGGTTGCGTACGGAGATAACGCACTTCAGTTTTGTCAGTGCTTGTCAGCAGCTGGGGATCACGTTCGATCCCGGATCACTCATGAATAATTCCTTGGCCGAAAGGAACAACCTTTACGTGATCGATCAGGTGAGCGCTTGCTTGCTGGCTGCTGGGTTACCTCCGTGTTTCTGGTCTTTTGCTCTAACCTCGACATGTCATTTGCTAAACGTTGAAATCTTGGATGGTGAGAGCGCTTGGTACAATATGCATGGCAATCATTTCGGCGGCAAGAGTATACGTCTAGGTGCCTACATCCATTTCAAACCGTCTCCTACAAGAGATGACACTCGCAAGTTCGTGCCCAGATCAATGAGGGGCGAGAGCGGAATGAGATGGAGTGGCAAAATGTTGGTGTGGGAACTTGACAAGTTCCTTGATGCCGAACTGACCATGAAGATTCAAGCAAATGCCGCAGCCCGCCCCGCGGCTCTCCCTGAGGTGGAGCTGAAAGGCAATTGGTTGCCACTAGTGCAACCAGAGCTGTGAATTGACTCTCTCCGCTGATGAGAAGAACCTTTTCGCAAGCAATTGGAAATCCAGGAGGCTTCGTATATGCTGAGAGGGTGTTGCACAAAGGGGCCAAGGGGGAAATCCCAATGCCCGGTGGTCCCGAGCCGGGTTACCACAGGTGGACGAGAAAGCAATAAACGAACGCCACAGGGGGGGCCAAATGGAAGGATGTTGTCGGCCGTACGACTGTGAACAGCAATGCTGCCGAAGTGCTTGATTGCATCAGCATCGATCCGAAAAAGAAACAAATCTACAGGACGGTAATCAAAGGTACACCGATACCTACATCTGGTCCTCCCAAAGCATGTGAACACGTCAAGTCCCTACGAAGTTGGGATAGACGGGCGTAGAGGCTGCAAGGCCGCAAAAAGTCTAGGCCTCCACATGTGTCCCTGAGGAGTGGAACAGATGTCCCATGTTGACAGAATGACGTGGGAGTACGCAGCCGCCGAAGTTGAGAAAGACATCAAAGAGGGACTGGAAAAGAGAATGAGGAAGGTCGAAAAGAAGGCCGAGAAGATGAAGGACAAAGCCAAGGAATCAAACGACGGCAAAGACGCCAAGAAGCTGCGCAAAACGTTCCTAAAGAGCGTGACAGTGGTCAGGATTGGAGTATCCGTGAAGAAGTTGGAAGTTGGGCTCCGTATCATTGAGGACAAATGGGGCACAGGAGATTGGACACGCGAACCCGTCGAGAAATGGGAATGATCTCAAAGCGTGGTGAAAACTTTCGCAGAAGGCCAAGGTAAACGACACAAGAGTGGTCCTAAGCCTTGCGGAGTTTGACAGAATCCTGACAATGAGAACGCTGGGTTCGGATACAAATGTACTCGATGACCTAGAACAGATCAAAAGAATCGTGACTGAAGGCGATAAACGCTTAATGGTCTGGCTCTACTGGCGAGAGAATCCTTACACTCATGCGGCCTCGTGCACCAGATACGAGGATGACGACGATATGGGAGGATTACGTCGGAATGATGGAAGTTGACGCATTTGAAGATCTGGAGCCGGATAGTTGGGAGGATGGGGCTCGAAAGATGCCATGTGTACCGTGCACCCATGCCCACAGAGAGAAGTTGAAAGAAAAGTTTCCACGATTTCACAACGCAATGATTTCTAGGCCGGTGGGGAAGAAGGAAATGCTTTCGAACCCAAAAGCGGTTGAAGTTATTCGGATGGAATGGTCTGGTCTACGCAAAAGTTTTTGATATGAAGAATGTGCGTGAGTACGATGATGTTCGAGCGGAGGCTCGTCGTCTCGAGGAAGTTGGTCATTTCGCCAGAGTGGAGAAGAACGATATGGCCGATGCCATTTTCATGATCTAGGCAATAGTCCGGCAACGTTTGAAGCGTCTCGCTGGGCTGACTTCCTAGGGTGTGTTGAAGGATGGGAGGGTCAAGTTGCCGATGCGATCCAGACTTACATTGAAGGGGTTTGTTTTGTGGGTGGAGCTCCCACGGGAGGGTTGGCCAGAAGATGGAAGCTGGAAGAAGGGGCGGATCTCCTTCGCACCTGGAGATCGAGCCTGAAACATGTCTGTCCAGAAGTACACGGACATCATCGGAAACCGTGTCAAGTTGAAGGATGCCAAGACTCCATCGCTTCCGGAGGATGCGAAGGACCATCCAGCACGCAGGCCGTGTACCGACGGCAAACACGTCGAATGCACGTGGTGTGTAAACACATTTTGAACCCCGATGTCCCGTTCATTCCAGGCGGGGCAGACGAGTCGGATGTGCAAACGCTCGTGCAAGGGGAGCTTGCGCCACATGCAGCTAGTGTGCTCATGAAACTACTCTACGCGGCACGTCTAGCCGGGTCCGATTTGCTCCTACCAATCAAGTCATTGGCGCGTCATGTTACAAAATGGAGCCAAGAGGACGACCAGCGACTGCATCATTTGATGTGTTACGTCAACTGGTCCAAGAAGAAGAATGGGTTGGTGATCCATTGGATCAGGTTCAGGCAGCAGAGTTTTCGGGATGTGTCGATTCCCTTCGTTCCACTTCGGGATGCCAAGTGTTGCATGGTAAGAATACTCGCTTTCCGTTGGTAGGAAATAGCAAGAGGCAGTCTTGCGCCACTCTACTCCAGAGGCAGAAACTGTGGCGGCTGACACGACAGTGCGTAGCGACGGGTTACCCTGTGCTGTGTTCTGGGAGATAATCAGTCCATGATTGCTGGTAAGATGAAATGTTCAAACGCGAAGAACACGCTCTGGTTTACAAGTTGTCGTCTAAAATGGCAGCCGACATTTACACAAAGGCTGTCCATGATCCAATTCGGTGGAAGCACACGTGTATGTTGGTCAACATCTTTGATCAGTGTGATGTGGACGATCCGGCAACGTTGGAAGCGTCGACGCCGTCTCATGACTGGCCAACGTCAGGCATATGGGCAGATGCTGGATGACCTTCACCCCGGCCGGGATGTCCCTCGGGTTCTTGTCGTCGTCCGCCGCAAAGCAGAACTGATCGATCGCCCTTGGATTGGTGGTGAGCTCGGATGCGGTCTCTCGCAGGTAGTCCGAAATTGCTCCCTCGCCGAAATTGCAGATGATATGGCGCTCCAGCTCCATCGCCCATTCTCAGCTCCCGTGTTTATCACCAGGTCTTCTGGGATCCCGGTGATCCTCAGCTTCTGGATGGCCGGCTGTTTATACCTTTCCTTGATCGCGAACCTGTCCTTTGAACCGCTGGGAATGGTTCCCCAGAAGTCCCGGAATTGAACGATTCGTACCAGGTTGTGGTAGCAGAACAACATTGTAAGGAAGTAGCTCTGAGCCGCGGCCCATTCCACCACCTTGTCCCTGTCGTCCGCCTCCGGATCATCGGGCAAAAGCAAGGGCAAGGGCAACAAGGGCAAGCAGAAGGGGAAAGGCAAAGGCAAAGACACCAAGGGGAAAAGCTATGCTTCTCCTTGGCGACGGGATGTGCGGGACCGCACCGGTTACTACGAGGGATGGAGTGAGAACTATCTCCACATGGTGCAATTGTGCGGGAAATCGGGACCGTGTATCGGCCCCAAAAGTACAATAACGCGCAAAATTCCCGTGCGTATCCTATTCCTTGTTTACATATCTTGCAATTACAAAGCAGCTATTCGGACAAGCGGCGTTGAGCAAATGCTCTATTTCGTGGGGGGACCCTTGATATGCTCAATTTTCACATAGGGCAAGTTGTTCTCCTTGAGCGCCCAAGGTTAAGGTGTGGGCCGGCCGGGTTCTTTGGGGGTGAAGAGCTGACGCGCCACTCTTTCACACTGACAGCCGGGCTAGGCAGTGCTGATGTGTCTGCTCTGGGATAAAGGGGCCGTGAATGGTAATATATCATTCCATGAGGATGATTGCACGGTTACGCCCATTCATTCGGGCATTCCTATCAATGCCCTTGCCGAGTTTTAGGCACATTTGCGGGGAAGATGTTACCGATATCGGAACGTTGGTGCCCAGTGCTCCTTTTCTCAAATGGTCATGTCCAAATTTCGCTAGAATTCGTTTACTGCTGTTTTTGCAGTCTTTTGAGCGTCTCACGACTTGAGAATTGCAAGTCAGAAAGCAAACTATATCTGAGAGATTGTGAAAGAGCCGGCGTGCTGTGTGGTTGCTTTTGAGTGGGTCCGGGACGAAATGTCCTTCCACAATTTCAATGCCTCTGCGCTGATGTTTCAGAATGAAGCATGCAGCGTGGGGGGTGTGAATAGCACGTGGGCCACATGTGCAGTTTTGTAGATGATACACACACACACACGCGCCATTTGGCTCAAGTCTCATGAACCGTCTCACAATGAGGCATTCAAGGTAAAATGCATCGAGCTCGCGGGACGCTTGCGGTTCTGAGGATATTTGGGTCATTGCAGGTTTTCCGGAAGACAACACAACCGCTGTTGTCGGGAATACCAAAGAAACCTCTCGGTTTCTCAGTTTCTTTGTTTGTTTGCTTGGTCTGGTTGCTCGTTTGTTTTGACATGTTAGGCCGGCGAGTCGCAAATTGTGAGCATGCTGCCCAGGCTTTGAGCATAACACGTTTTGGGCCCACTCCTGCGGCAGGCCTGGCCATGTCGCAAAATGCCTGGATGCAGCCAAGCGCACCGCAGGCGAGGGTTTGTTTGTGTGTTAGTTTGCTTGCTTGCTTGCTTGCTTGCTTGCTTGCCTGCCTGCCTGCCTGCCTGCCTGCCTGCCTGCCTGCCTGCTTGCTTGCTTGCTTGCTTGCTTGCTTGCTTGCTTGCTTGTGTGCATGTGGGTGTGGGGCATTAGTCGCGACCAGGGTACAGACATGCGCAGGAGTCTGCGTCTTGGATGGAACAAAAGCAGCTTGACTCGCTGATGGTGCAGTGTCCGTTTCTCAGTGTTTTGACATCTCACTCTAGCCCCGCGCTCCTGGCCATGTTAAAGGAGTTTTGATGGGAGATGTCATATACACCAATTCCAAACTGGGTAGTGCATTGAAGATAGATTAGTTGGGGTCATTCCAATGTTTGCGTTTGGAAGGGCAATCCTTCAGTTTTGCTCTAGCAATTCGAAATTTCAATTTTATTCCCAAACATATAGAAACAGAAATAGACACAGACACAGAGCCAGAGGCAGCTGCAGAGACATAAGTAGAGACAGACGCAGAGGCAGTTAGACAGACAGACAGACAAACAGACATGTATTATACGCTCTTTCAGGTTTGGGCTCACCGACCTTGCGGTCCACTTCATTTGCCCAGATTTTGCGCTTCCTTTTTCTCAGGGATCCAGCGCATTTAGCACCGGAAGTGGACACCTGGCAGGTGGCCTGGGGCCAGCAAGAGCAGTACTGGCCGATGCAGGAGCTGCCTTTTTTGCCGGCTCGACAGGACTCCCCCCATATTGCCTTGAAAAGCGGGTTTCTCTCGCGCGCTCGCTCTGGGTAAGGGGTTGGGGAGGGGGGGACTACTTTGACAACCCTCTCAGGGGCCCGGCAGGCGCCACGCCGTTGAGAAACTGGCAATGCGATTAGATGTTTTCGCTTAGGGAAGGACATGAAGCAACTGTTTTGTTTTTTTTTCAATACGGCCTCTTAGGCAAATCTAGTTTAGGGCCATGCTAAGCCCAAATTCAGCCCAAGTTGAGCAAAACTAGAGCCCCGATAGAGTCTCATATTTGGAACTCTATCGATGATGGTGTCATTACTTGCATGCCCACGCGAATTCAGGGGCCTTTCTTTTCATATCCCGCTGACAACTTTGCCCGCCCTCTGCGCCAGGACGTGTCGCCGTATGGCGGTGCTGCATACGCGTCCTTCAATATGGATGCCGCCGCCTGGCGCTTGCCCAGGGTGGCAGTCTTTTCGATAAAGGAGCCAGTTGGAACACATGCAATCACTCAGAATGATCAACCCAAGTGTTCTTGTTTTCGTATTTGCCCGTGTGATGAAAAACCGGATCCTACCAACGCGGCTTTCAAAGCATGGTACTGTAGCGCTCAGTAAGGTATAAGTCTGTGCACATGGCCTTTTTCGTGCAAAGCCCAGGACGTTGCTTTCTTGTTTGGCTTGTCGCTCAGCTCTCCCTCTCTCTCTCTCTCTTTCTTTCTTTCTTTCTTTCTTTCTTGCTTTCTTTCTTTCTTCTCTGTCTCTCTCTCTTTCTCTCGCTTTCTTTTTCTTTCTCTCACTCTCTCTCACTCTCTCTCTCTCTCTCGCTCTCTCTCGCTTTCTCTTTCTTTCTCTGTCTCTCTCTCTCTCTCTCTCTCTCTCGCTTTCTTTTTCTTTAGCTAGCTCTCTCTGTCTCCCTCTCCCTCTCCGTCTCCCTCTCCCTCTGCCCCTCCCTTGCCCTCTATCATTATTTGCAGTACACATGCATGCATACCGTTCTTACTAAGTCTGCGTCCAGGATGTGAGCCATGGCCTGTGTGTCGAGGTTGGGTCGCACATTCCGTGAGGCTTCTGAGTTTATGCAGCAGCTGGGCATCGATCCGGCGGAGGACGGGAGGGTCTCGTGCGAGAGGCGCAGTGATGCACTGATTGTTGGAAGTAAGATATACCTCGGGACGCACAGATAGCAGGCCGGAAAAATGCGCCGAGGGGGGTGCGGGAGCGGGTGGGCGGGTCTTGAGGCCAGGGCCCCTTTCAAGGAATATCCGCCCTCAACACCTTGGCCGTTGGGCAGGAGTTGTGGTTTTGTCAGCAATCAGCTTGCATTTACCAGCCGCCTTGTGTGAACGGAACGAGAATCGGCCCTGGGGTTGCTTCATCTTCACTGGAGGCTTGGATAGAGAGGAACTTGATATCGGTCACATGGGAGTGTCTTCCAGGTTTACTGGGACAAGGTTTTCTCTTTGCGCTGTGAGCATCTGGATTTTCATAGAAATAGTCTTATTTTGTCATTGTACATTCATACCTAGGTATATTGCATAGAAACACCTCTCTATGTATATTTGCGACAGCGGCTTGTTAAGCTTCCCGGTTCGCAAGGACACATACTTCGGCTGGATCGCTGAGTACGGGCTGCAGAGCGACGTGCTGCCGCCTCGCTACCAGATGCATATGGACGCCAACACTGGGCGCACTCTGGCCGGAACTAGCGGAGAAGTGACAATGTGTGTGTGTGTGTGTGTGGTTTTTTTGAGGGTACCCATTTGGGGGTGCCCACATTCGGACACATTCCCAACAAGTGACAGGTAGTTTGCAGTCAGCCTTCTGGTGCTAATGTTCGAGAGGTGCGGACTCAAGCAGGTCAAGCGTCAAGGGGGAGACACGATTGCGCTTCAAATCCTTTGCCCTCTTGGTTGAGCAACATTTTGCAACATGAGGCGGAAACCCTTTATGACCGCCGTCAGCGTCAGGGTTTCAATGCAAGGACGGACAGGACATTCTTTCAATCAACTAGTAAAAGGGTTTGCGGTGGATGTGTTTGCCTCAGCCATTGATGTTCACACAGGCCAATTTTGTGTAAACATTGCCTCACACATTCTTCTGAACATTGTCTTGTAGCCACACAACCAATCCAGAATTTTCGAACTCTTACTGACATTCACACTCACACAACGTACATACCATTGATACCTGAATTATGCATTGACAAGCAATTGGTTTATCTCTAAACAGTCTCTGGACAAAGTTCGGCTTTTTGCTTCGAATTCTTTCCGGGTTCCTTCCTTCCAGCAAACGAAGAACCAAGAGAACGAAGGAAGGGCGGGTCAATCCGAATCAGAGCGGGGCAAGCAGACAGTTTGGAATTCCAGGCCCCTTTTACGTGAACACCGATGACGGCAGCAGCTCCTGGGAGAACCCGCTGATCCCCTGCTTGGTGCCCGTCATTGACATTGGCCGCGGCTACTTGCAGGCCGAGGGAATGTGGCAGAGGGGGAATGTTCAGGTCTGTATTGTTTGGTACACTTTTGTGTGTTGCTGTACAGGGAAACCACAACATGTTGGGGGTCCCCTATTGTGACGTGCTTTGTAAGCTAACAAGAGCTTACCAGCGTATCTAGAAACTGGGAAGAACTAAATAAGGGACTTAATGTGGAAGGGAACTTTGCTGGAGGTACCTTTCCATGTTTGTGTGTTTGCTTGTGTGAGGTTCTTTTTGTTGTGTTTTCATTGTGTTTTGTTTTGATTTCTTTTGTTCTTTGTTTTGTTCTGGTTTGTCCTGTTTTGTTTTGTTTCTGTTGTTTTCGATTTTGCAATGTTTTTCATTTGGTTTTGTTCTCTGTTGTTCATTTTTTCTTCCTGTTTTGGTCTGTTTGTTTCTTTATTTGGTTGGTTGCTTGGTTGCTTGGTTGCTTGGTTGCTTGGTTGTGTGTTTGCCAGTCTTTCCATCTTTCTCCACAGATCTTTGTCCGTTCTCTCTTTCGCTCCGATTATCTTTTGGCTCGATGCATTTGGTCAGCTTGTTCTTTGATTGCTTTATTTGTTTGCTTGTTTGCCAACGTGCTTCTTGGTATGTGTCTTTGCGTCTCTACGTACATGCGTTTGTTCTGACATGGGAAGGTGCATCTATTCTTCAAGTTGTCCCGACGGCAAATAACTGGCGCGAAGGATCTGACTTGCATCATTCAGTGTTACAGACCAGGAGAACTTGTACACGCACACCTTACGCAGTTGGATACTCGCAATATAAGCTGGTGCTCTAGTTGCACCTTAGCCAGTTCTAGCAGTGTGAATCACAGGTTTGAGTGCTAGGCAACGTGGATAAAGTTTGATTATGCAAGCTAGCTTTAGCTAGCTGTAGCTGCAGTTTCTACTTGCCCAGATACAAGATTCTACTGATTAGTTCCCTGGGCCGCGTTCGACTCCTTCCTGGGCGCTGACTTCTCAATTCCTTTTGGGAACTGCGCTCGTTTTGTGAGCTAGCCTGGTTCTCAAGTTTATGTACTCTCCTGATGGTGAGAATGGAATCCAACAAGATCTCACTTTTGATATCTCTCGTTTTGGTTTGACCCTTTTTCCGGGGTTTCATGTCGAATTGCTGGAGAATAGGACGGAACAGTGTCTGAAGCACAAAAGAATCCTTTCGTCGGTATGCGACTTGTTTGAAGTTGGCCTTACGACGGGAAGGTCCTTTTTGCTTCTCTCTTCCAAACCCTTCTTCCTGGTGCGGGCTGGCTGGTTTCCGTGGCTTTTGGTGTCTTGGCAATCGCAGGCGCCCTTCGATGGCTACTTTGAGGAGCAGACACCTGGCAAGTCATGCCGCAGGCACAGGCATGAGTGAGCCTGTCTTGGAGCACACAAGGTTATGAATGCTGGGGTTCATCACTGTTATCCTCATTTTGAGTTTGCGGGCAAGCCGGACTCCATAATCAAATTGGCCAGGCAGTCACTTGGCCACGTGCCAACAAGCATAGTGCGGAGAGCGAGGAGAGCGAGGAGAGCGAGGAGAGCGACGAGAGCGAGGAGAGTGAGGAGAGTGAGGAGAGTGAGGAGAGCGAGGAGAGTGAGGAGAGTGAGGAGAGTGAGGAGAGTGAGGAGATGTGTGAGTGCGAGAGAGAGAGTGTGAGAGAGTGAGTGTGTGTGTGTGTGTGGGGTGTGGGGTGAGTTTGTCGAGTCTTAGTAGGTGGAAAGCACATGCTTGCATGTGTTACTTCAAATGATTCCTGAAAAGCATCATTGGGAGCGGAAGAGGTGCTGCAGAGACCAACCTCTAGACTTATTGGCTACGCGTTGCAGACTCTTTATGTGATTGCAGTTCCTGTCATGTTGGTCCACTTCATGCATTGGTCCACTTCATGTGATTCTGCATCATGTTGCTTCCTTTTCCTTCTGCCCTGCATTCTTTCGTCCATGCGTCCAAGCACCCATTTGTTCGATCCTTCATGCAATGATTGATTCCTTTCATGCGACATCTATGCCTTGATCTGCCCTATGATTCTTTTGCAGGTTGTGGGCAACGTTATGATCACCTCAGATCAGCTTCCATGTTTGCCTGAGGAAGATGGGGCTCTGGGCTTCCCACAAGAGGGACCTGGAGGCGCTGAGCCAAGTCACCCGACGGATTTCGATGGCCCCCGGATTGTTTGACAGCGGAAGCAGTCGGGGCCGACAAGGCTCAATTCGCAGTCCAAGGAACCGCTCCAACGCAGGGCCAACCTGTGGTGTATCACGGGCAAAGCGCCATGCAGGTCTTTACATCCAAAAGGGCCTCTAGGTTTGACACCTGCTCAGGGAGGGTTCATTTGAAGATCAGGCACGGGAGGGAGGTCAAGTCCTCAATTTCCACCCTACGTGACCCCGAACACATGTATTGGCTCCGCATAGGAAGCCCCATCTTTGGATGTTTGCCACTTGGAGGGCTCCCCAATTCAGGGAAACACGGATTTATGGGATCGGGCAGGTCTTGTTTCTGTGGCCTTTTGGGCTGGCTGTCTTGTTTGAGTCTGCGTTCTGGGCCTTGGAGCTTTCAGCTGCTTTCAGCTGGGCATCCCCTCCTGCCTCCAACTTGCAGTGTCAAGTCTGATATGCGCTATGCATTGATGCCAAAGTTGTCTCCATTGGTTGGGCGACATCCTTTTGCACTTGTGTCCAAACGACTACGACCCATTATTACACGCAGCAAGCCACAATCCCTATGGAAGAAAGATGAGCACCAAAGTGACTCGCAAGAGCAGGGACCATGGCCCTTGAGCACATGGCACTCATAGTCAAAATCAAGCTCGGAGCTTTGAGGGCTTCTTTCAGTGGTTTCAGCAAGTGCGGGTGCGGCGTGCTTACTTTTGCAGCCATGAAAGGCGGCTGTGCCATGCGCCCGATTTAGAGTCTGACTGGCACGCATGAAGTGGCTGACATGAACTAACGTTGGTACTGCATGAATTCAGGCCAGGCAAGTCTCTTTTTGTTCACGCTCTTCCGACCTTTGCTTCAACCATCCGCGCAAATCGCAACATAGTATGACATAGATGTAAGAATAAGTGGCACAATGCAAGAAGAAGTGCAGATGGTTGCTGTGACGCGAGTCCGGAGCACCGCGCGTACTTCACTCCAGACAAAGCCACCACGAAATTCCAGCCGTAAACCCCCAAACCCCAAACCCCAAACCCCAAACCGAATAACTCTAATCCCAAAAACCAACAGCCCAGCGATTTTTGCGTTTCGTTCAGGGCTGGCACGGGCCTCACGTGGACGAGGAGGGCCGGGAGTACTTCGCCAACTCGGAGAAAGGCATCTCCTCGTGGCAGGACCCTCGACACGAGACGCAGCCACTCGGTGGGATGGGGGTCGTTGGCAGCGGCCTGGTCGCTTTTCCGTTGGAGTAGACGGGGTGGCCCGACAGGCTCCCATTTAAAGCTACAGTTGGAGGTGTGGGAAAGCGACACTTTTGTTCTCCAGAAAGGACAACCCTGAGCAGGAGTATTTCGCTCAAGCATGAACAGTATAGGATGACCAGCTTGTATGCAGATACGCATGCACATGTGTATAGATGCAGCATGCATGCTGGAGGGTTGGGATCGTGCTTCTGCAACTCTTGGAGTTGCCTTTTCTATGCAGAATTCTTTACATGACCGCACGTATTGCATTTGGCTAGCTGTTTTTTGGAGGAAGCAAACACATTTTGGCGCCCTGCAAGTATGGATCATTTGGCCTTGCCGATTCAGGGCGCATTTTGGCATTTTCTATGTGCCTTTCCTTCAACAACATGCTTTGAAGGGCGTGTGGAAGACACCCATCAGTTGCACATATGCCCCGTGTTTTCAAAAACGGGGGTGTGAGTGGTTCCTTGTTTTGCATGGTGTTTTGAGCTCTGGTGAGTTGTGAGAGGTTGGATGTTGGGGAAACCAGATTTGCGGTGAATGGGGTCTTGGAAACACACTTTCCTGTTGGGTGGGAGAACTAGTTCTTGGGATGGCCTTCTGGTGACATCACAGGAGCGGTGGCGATTTCCACAAACCTGGGTTAGGACGTTTGGGTTGGGGTTTGGCTCCTGCTTAGTCTTGGTTTAGGCTGGCTCAGAGTTAAGAGTGTGATGCTTTGATTTTTAGTGATGAAGCGACGTTACTTGGACTGAAGGCGGGCATCAATTTTGTAAGCTCGAACTAGACATTGCCATCAAGAGCATTCTATGAGCATGCTTCCTTATTTCATGAATTCTGCTAGCCCCTTTCGAGAGCTTGTCCCTTGCAAAGCTTGACAAGGTGCCCGGATTCTGGCACGCTGCAGATCCGCAGTGGGCTTTCGATTTGTGGTAGTGCGTCTGTGGCTCCTTTGGTGAATCTCCGCCCTCTCACCTCGGTGTTGCCTGATGACTTCCGGCCTTTGCTGTTATGGCCCGTCCCCCATCTCTGCGGCATTTTCTAGTCAACCACTGGAAGGACCTGTTTCACAGCACACGGTACATGGCACAAACAAGGCACAAACAAGGCACAAAGAAGGGTCCATCGGGGGTCCATGAAACCCCGTTGCAGGTATCTCTTCGAGATCCAGAGCGGCCTGCTTGATGCCCTGGAGGCGGGCGGAAGGGATTCTTGCCTGGCCCCACCCTTGAAGTGCAGACCGTTATGAGCTGAAAGGGAAGCAACCGCAAATCCAGCTTACCCATTCAAACCGCCAGTGCCCGTGCCCATGTTTGTCGGCTCGCCTTATGATACAAGTGTATTAGTCACCCATTGAGCGAGGCTTGCGTCATATCCGACGCACAGTGCCCCTTCATGGTGGCTTCTGGACCTACTGACATGACGAGTCAACGCCCCATGCAATCCGCAGCGAATCGGACAGGGCCAGGTCATGTTGGGGTCACACTACATCTCAAGAAGTTTCCTCCCCACTCTAAAGACTATGGAAACGCGACCATGAGCTTTCCACATGTGAGAAGCAGCCATGGACTTGGGGTTTTGCCTATTCAGGAGATGCTGCCGCAGTACGTGCAGGACACCGACCTGCCGGGCTTCGGACTGCTGGATCGCCAACCCCAGCTGATGGAAGTGAGGCCAGAGCAAACGGAAGGGCCGTGCGAGCTCTTCGCCAAAAAGGGCACCGGGTTTTCCATCGCACATTTCTTTCCGCTTCCACGCTGCTACAGGTTCACTGACCCATGCCTGGAGCGGGCTTTGCATCTTGCGCAAGGAGTCTCGAGCGTTTCAGTTTGGAATCGCGTGTGGGCAGCGACACGCTGAATGGAAAGAAGAGATTCCGTTTCATGCAGCTTGACACAGTGTTGGTTACGTTGGTTACAGGTTTTTGGCATGGACTGGCCCCCGGGGAGGGAAGGGAAGGGGAAAGAGGTTGAAAGAGGTATATACAGTTTCATTTCTTATGTCCAACACTCCTATGGTTGATGGATTGTGCTGGGACCTGGGAGTATCGTGAAGCCTCTCCGGTACAGATTGGGGCCTATTTCACATATCAACATAGGTATACATACTTGTATACATGTATGCACATCTATGCCGGCCGTTGGACAATATTCACGGGCCTTTGGGCGCGCTTTATGTTCCCAGCCCATATCCACTCCAAACGGTGTCCAAACATGAACCATCGTTTGGCCAGTATGCTCCCCCCATGCAATCGTATTGGCATTAGGTCATATTGAAGAGATCGGTCATGGGTGTTTATTGGCCACACGGAGAGAGACATCATGATGACTGGCAACCTTGACCTCTTCAAGCTAAGTGTGAATTAGCCACACCCCTCTTCTTTTCTGTTTTGTACTTCGGATCAGTCCGGCGGACGCCATCATCAGTGGTGCTTTCGGGAGAGACGCCATCATTTTCAGATGACTCGGACCAGTGTGGTCCTTGTTTCAATCCGAATGTACCCTTCCCACGAACAGACGGCATTTGTGGGAAGGCACCCAGAACACCAAGCAACTTTCGCGAAGGGACCGGGACCCCGTGGCAACGGATCCGCTTCTTGCGAGGGGCAGCAGCTTTGCGGACTGCCCCACCTCTCCGGGGCGGAGCACCCCACGCTCCCGGGTTGCCTCGCCGGAGGCGTTCCTCGGCCGAACGCCCGCCTAACGCCCGGGGGGAAGTCCTTGGGGGGTTTTGCCCAAACACTCCGCGGCCAGTTTTCTTTTGGAATCTGCATTTTAGGAGTTGTTTTTGTTTTTTGCGCCAAGAAGATAGTAAGCTGGTTCGTATGCATCAGTCCACCAACTAAGTCTAGAGGTAGCTTCCGGGAATTCCAGAATCCAGAGACCAGTTCAAGACTAGGAATGTGTTTCTTCCGATCTTGAATCTTGAATTCAGGAAGCAAGCTTGAGGGTTGCGGGGGTAATCTATCCAAGTCCCGCTTTCCAAGCTGGCACGCTTTCGCTCTCGGCAAGGAAGAGGGACCGCGTCCACGCGGCCCTTACTGCCAAGATGGATCGGCCCGAGATCAGCTACGCGGACACTGGGCGTATGGGGAGGGGGGGGGGGGGCGGAAGCCGCTGTTGGGTTGAGGTTCTTATGCCCATTGCGGTGCAGAATGGTTGCATGTGAACATGGTGAAGCTGTGCAAGTTAAAGCCGCAACTTTCAACAAGCCAAAGCATATTTTTGGTGGCACGGCAACATGTTTGAGGAGTGCCGGCAGAATCTGGTGAATGCTCTCAACCAGTTCTTCTTCATCTACAAAGATGATGAGGAGGCGAGGTATGAGCCATGCTTCTGTATCACCCAGCCAGGATAATGGGTTTCATGCCCTTGGCGGTTGACACCCTGGGCGAACCTGAGCCTTTGCAAAACCAGGAGTATTTTGAGGTTGGTGGCAACACCCATGGATAAAGGCCATCTTTGTGGCTCCTTACATGCGTATCATTTAAGGCTCGTCAAATGGCGGCTGTTTGTGGATGGCTAGCGGGAGGCGGGCGGGAGCCACCGAAGGCCCTTCTCTCTTTCGCCAGGCTCAGAAGCTGCTCATTGGCCGGAAGCTGAAGGAGAGACGACTGCGCAGGCCCGGGCCGATGGCGTGGCGCTTCTTTCTTGGTGGTTCATTCCCCTTCGTGGGAATGGCTGCAATTTCTGCTCTGGTGGGTTTGGTGGCTATGTGGGGCTGTGTTGATGAGGTTGGCCGTTGACCCCGGGCCTTTCAGAGGAATAGCGGGCGGTCTTTCAGGAAGTGAAGATTCCATCAGTTGGTGGATTGGGAGGGCTTCCATGGAGCCTGGGTGATAAACCACGCATGGGCACCAATTTGATCGCCGACCAATTGCCGTGGGTGAAGGGCTCTCCGCGGAGGTGCCTTCCTGGTGTGAGACATATGTCACGTCCTCCGCCTGACACGTGGGATGCGACAAAATGAGGAGCCTTTCCAGAAACCCCAAAGAGCGCGAAAAGGAATATGAAGGTGCTGTGCAGGAGCTCTCTATGGTACTCCTAAGGTCCTGCGCAGGATGTCTTGCAGGATCGCCAGAAAGGATCAGTCCTGCCTAGGATCTCTTCCGAGCACATCTTTAGAAAGTAGTCATACAGTGAGGTCCTTGCAGGATCTCCAAAAAGGATCAGCGAACAAGGTTCTCTTGAAAGGATCTCGACAGGCATCCAAAATGTTGCAAGAGCTCCATGCAAGGTCCGTGCCATGTCCCGTACAAGATTTCTTGATGGAGTATTATGCACGTAGAAGGTCCTGTTCAAGATATCTTCGAAGGATACCTTTAAAATGTATTCACAAGGTCCTGCACAAAGTTTCCTTGCAGGACCTCTACAAGGATCTGTGTACTGGATCTCTTGGGGTTTTGGAAAGCCAGTCCCCTACAAGATCCGGTTGCAAGAGCTCTAGACAAGGCGCACACCTGCGGTTCTTGACCACCATACTATCAGTAGTTTGTTTTTGGTTGGGGAGGATGTGCCGGGCTGCCCAAACTTCAGGAAAGCAACCCAGTTTCCCCATGTCCTCTTGCGTATTTTGTTTTTCTGGTGCCGAGGCAACGCCTTGATGAGGAAGAACGGTCGAAGTTGCAGCAGGAGTTGGAGGAGCGATTTTGCGCAACCGTCGAAAGATCTGGTGAATGATTTGGGCATGATGAACCCGTTGGTAAGGAGTGTGGGCCGCCGGTCGGATCCATGTCAAGGCCACCATTTGCCGAGTGATCCAACGAAAAGCGAGTGCCCCGAGTTGTTTGTGCACCATTGCATGTCAGTTCCAACAATTGCGGGATATGTGAGCTGGATTTGAGTCACGGGCACTGTGCTCGAACATTGCCCGGGTACCCGGGTAGAACCACCAATGCAGACGTGGCCCGTTCTTGCCTTGGACATTGTAGTTCTGGGATCTTTGCACTGGCTCCACCCGTTGCATCAGGAGATGCGGCGTCACGAGGAAGAGCGGCAGAAGGAGGAGGCGGGGTTTCCCGTTGCTCGAGCGCGAGGGCAGCGTCTCAGTTCCTAAACAGTTTCTGTGATACCAAGCGAATCTCCTTTTGAAGTAAGATTGAGTATAGTATACTTATTCATGGGGATGGGAGTCAACCTCCTCACGGTTTCAAACATCACCTTTGGTCGCCCAAAGATGGAGTGGCGTTTGGGAACATGTAACCCCCTGTTACTCCCCTTCAACCCCCCCCTCCCCTCCCCTCCCCTCCCCTCCCCCGGCGGCTTCAGCCCAAGTCTCGGTGCAAGCCACAGGTCACTGTTCGAAATGCATGTCTGTCGGGGGCACGATTGATGCAGGGTGGCATCCGCACACTCATGACCTTTGCAGGCTGTGACATCGATTGGTCGGATGCCCCTCAACCGAGGCGGCGCGCCGGGAGGCGGCGCAGGCGGCGGAGCGCGCCAGGAAGGAGGCGGAGGAGAAGCAGCGCCGGGAGAAGGCGGGGCGGGGGGGGGGGAGCCGGTGAGACGGGGGACGGGGGGGGCCATGGGAGCAGACTTCAGACTTAGGCGAGCTCCTGGCCCTTTCGTGGCGTTTTCGTGTTCTTTTGGGCTTTTGACTTCTCTTGCTTTTTGACCAACCAAAATCCCGAACACACCCTGAAACTAACCTCAGCGCTTCGACCTTGACACCCCCCAAAAGCGCAAACCCTTCAAATAAACCGCACATGGTCGAATGAGGGTCGTCTTTGTTTGGAAGCTTCCACCTCATGGAATCCCTTCTGTACTTTGAGTGTTGCCATTCTTCAAGGACAGTTTCTTTCAGGGTGAAGGCGAAAGTGGAAAGTGCCATTGGTTTCTCGGAGCATGCGAAAGATGCCACCAGTGCATGTGTGTAGGGAGCCAGCATGCCTTCAGGGATGGCTGACTGCTTTCTTACTGGTGTGGGCAAGCTGACGCCCACTTCTGTGAGAACGGAGTTTGTAAAAGCGAGTTTGCGACCGAAAACACATTAAGAAGTTTCCGTCCACAGCGTCCCTTGGAGTGCAGGTTGGTGAATCATCGCAATTAGCCCAGATTGATGTTTTTTCACGCTTTGCAGAGCAAGTGCCAGGCTTTAAACATTCTCCTGGACGGCCCTTGTGTGGCGATTAAACCCAAAAGGGAGGGTGAGGAAAGGTGGCAGGGGTTGACTGCTGGCTATTGGGAGGAGCAGAGAGCGGAGGAGGAGCGGCAAAGGCAGATGCAGCAGGAGCAGCAGAAGGCGGATGAGGAGAAGCGACGCCAGGAGGAGGCGCGCTAGCGCCAGGAGGAGCCTCCATATCATGAAGCTCCCTTTTTGTTTTGTAAAGACTGTAAAGATGACATGGCTATGGGTCAAAAATGCGTACCCAAAATGGAACCCTGGTAGATGGAACCACAGACTAAAACCTGCGGTCCCCTGGTGGTTAAATTTTTGACCCATACCCACACAACAGGCTTCTTGAAAACGCATTTCATGTTGGTGGGCTGATGCGGAAGGGGGAGATGAGGAACCCGTGTGCGGGAGGGGCGGGTGGGGGTGCAGAAACTGTGTGCTGCGGGGATGTGGTTGATTTGGGTTTCATTCAGGTGTTGTGTGAAGGAAGCTATCAGGAAACGCACCTTCCAGGGCCCTCCCGGAGCAAAACGAGCTGTGCCCAAACAGTTCTGTGGGAGGTTTGATGCAAGGCGTTGGCGGAGAGCACCATCAAGCCTCACTCGCTTGGGAAAGGTGGGATCTGAAAGCATCAGTCATGAAACTCTCCCGGGAGAAGTCTCTATCAAAAGCTCAAACCGAAGAAGCTAGCAGAAAAGCAACGTGCAAACTCCAAATGCACCACTTGGCTAGCCCTTTCAAACCCCGCGAACGCACAGTCCCATGCAAGTTGGTGGATTAGTGAACGTATATCCTTGTTGTCGTCTAGGTGAATTTTATTTTCCTGGAGTCTTTTGTCTGCGGCTGAAACTGGAAGGGAAGGTGAGCCGTCCGATATGTCTTGAGATGCCCCAGTTGGCTTTGCAGTTGGGGCGGTCGCGTTATCCCTGAAATGGCGCAAACGTGTAATACATGGCGAAAAGCACATTTCAGGTCTATGTGAAAAGAATTCCAGCACTGGATCTGCTTCTGCCGCAGAGCTCCCTTTTCCATCGACTGTCTCCATTTCTTGTGTGTAAAACCTAATCTTCTTTGATTCATTTCTCATCTCATTCAATCCTCATCCCTCGCTCCCTTCGACCGCTAGAGCATAGAAGAGTGGAAGTGCGGGAGTGATAAGAGATGAACAAATGTCCATTTCCTTCCAAGCCTCTCTTTGCTGAGGAAAGAACGGAACAGGATGGCGTCAGAAAGTAAACAATTGTTTCACTTTTGGATTTTTTTGCCAATTTCATGTCTATTCTATCACCACAGGCTAGTATTTCATAAAGATATGAAGACGTGAGAAATGCGCCTGGCCCCCGCAATTGCAAAACACATCTATGAACATGTGTAGAACGTAGTGGCATCCGACGCCTCCCTGAGAGAGATCTGCCAAGATGGCCCATCCTCGAGGAAAACCCGCAAAAACAAGAAACAAACACATTCCCCCAGACAAAAGGTATTGGGCACCGACACATTTCCCTCAGGTTTGTTGTTTGTTTCTTTTATGGGCTTTCTTCGAGGTTTTTTGTTTTTGCAAATGGGAGGCCGTTCAGGCATGCTTTCTTTGGCTTTGCAATTAGGATGCCTCTCATGCTTGTTTTTCCGGGTTTTGCAAATGGGAGGCCTTGCAGGATTGCTCAAAAGCACGCACATGAGAAATTGTTTGTTTTCTGATTCCTCAGAAAATGTTGTGTTTTTAGTTTAGTATGCGTGATGCTTTTTTGGACTAAACCACGCTTGTGGGAATCGATTCCCAAAAAAGCCCGCACTCAGACCGTTGGTTTCTGTTCCAGGGCCCAAACGCTTAGAATGAGCTTGCAAGGTGAAAATGAAGCCATGGTTGGAGGATGTGTGACATGATTTCGCTTCTGCAGTTTCCTCTGGGGTTCCTTGGACCTTGGGGTTGGCTTAGATGCCACGTAGGCCAAGCGGGAAGAGCAGCGGAAAGTGGAGGAGGCCCGACAGAAGAAGCTGGCAGAGGAGGGGAGGGGGTCCAACGAATGCCCCAAATGCGAAGGTAGCAAGGAACTCGAGTTTGCCTCAATTTGCCCCTCAGTTTTGTTGTTGACTATGGTTGGCTTGCTTGCAATTTTTAGGTATCCACCGTACCCCACCAAATGACATGAAACTTGACTGGGGATGCTGGAAGACCACTTTGCTCCAACAGCAAATCTCTGTTGGGCTTCATGCTGGTGGGAGAGTAGATTTCCCTCTCAAGTGACTAAAACAATATCGTTTTGGCTGCCTTTGGGTGAGTTTCCTGTTGGATATTTGTCCAAGGGAAAACAAAAATATCGGAAGCCCACGGGATCAGACCGATCGAGTTTCTTGCGTGGCTTGATTTGGTTGAGTTGGGCTCGCCTGGGCAACGAAGCAGCCAAAGCGGGGCGAAATGGTGGAGGTTTGCCAGGGGTTCATCATTTTCCCATGGGTCCGGTCGAGCTGGCGAACTTGGAAGGGCCCTGACATGTCGCTTGGAAGGGTCAAACACATGGCAGGGAAGCTCATTGGCGGCTTTTCCAAGCACTGAATCCATCAGTTTCTCAAGGCCCAAGAATCGCTTTTTCTTGTGAGCCAGATAGCTTACAGAGGATTCTCGCATTGGAGCAAGCGACTGAAAAGCCACTTTCTGATAGCTCCCTCTTCTTGTCTACAGGAGCAAGCTGCCAACAAAGCGAAGGAAATCCGTCGCTTGGCTGGGTGTGTTGACGGCTCTGTCGTGGAACTGCGGCCCTACAATTACAAGCTGAGTGCCAAAGTGTTCTGGAGATTTGCTTGAAATTATCAGAGGAAACGTAGTGGCGTTGTTCAGTGGTGCTGTGGTGCCAGCCCTCTCACCAGACGTTGCAGTGGCAGAGACCAGTGTGCCCGTCTCTGTGGTGCGCCCTGTGAGCATTTGCAGAGTGCACGCGCCATCATGCTGCAGGCTTGCTCGCGAATACCTGTCAACCCTTTGTCAAAATGGGACGACCCCCCAACATGGTGGTGTCCTTGGAGACGCGCCACGGATCATCTCTGCTTTCTCATGGATGCTTCGGCCCGCAAAACCCATGAGACAACCAGGACTTGATCATGCTGTCTGCAGAACTGGCTGCCAGAGCATATCCCGATGACACATACTTTATGTACGTTGAAGATCTGCTAGATCAGGTGTGTCAAGAACCTCCGCTGCTCAGTCAAAGAGAGCAAACACGCACGTTACGAAACTGGAAAAGAGTCAAAGCTATATGACGAGTAACTGGGATGCATTGAGGCTTTCGAGGTGGTGTAGCTGGCAACAGAAGCAAGAAGTCGTTCGATTGACACAGTCTGGGAGAGTGGACTCGAAGCGAGGCTCAAGAACCAAGCAGCTCCCAGGAATACTCGTGAGTGGGGTAGCAAGATGACGGCAGCTGCATGAGCACGAGCCACATGCACAAGAGCGGATCAGACGGCCATGGCGCGATCTTCCCATGATATTGCTGGTACATGCACATGATATGAAAGTGCTTCAGTGGTTGAGGCGACGAAGAAATGCAAGCTGTGAGCATGTTTTCGGCTGTGCTTATTACACCCCCACCCAGCCAAAACCGCAACCCCCCCTCCCCCCCAAGAAACGTGTTGGTTGCCTTCAAGCCAACCCAAGAACCAAAAAGGGTACCCTCAAAAGCACCCACACTCACATACAACTCGCCCTGGACCACACCTGGTCGCACCGACCTATTTGCCAACCGAGGGGAGCGGCTACTGGCGACGATGCATGAGCTGGCGCAGAGCCGGGATGGATATGTGCTGCGGTCTGCCATTGCAGAGGGCGAGTCTGTGGGTGGCCCGCCCAAGTGTTGTTTTGGCGGAGCAGAGATGCGGGGATAGAGCATCGTATGTGAAGAAGATGTGCTCTCGTGTTGATTGGGTTGGTGACCGCCACGTAATTTTGCTCTGGTGACTCGGTTTGTGGGGTGGAAGCTGCCCCTCTTCAAACATAGGACCAACGCAGCTGAGAATGACGGACAGGCACTTTTTGAAGCGGACATTCTTTCAGGTGGTAGAAGCACAAACGGCAGCTTGAGGGATCGGCATCAACCTGAGAGTGTCTAAAGGGTGATTCTTGGGTTGCACTTTGCCAGGAGAATGATTTAACCCAATCAAGGTCCATGACGTGGTGTGAAAGTGGTGTGATAGAGTATGCATGTTGGGCAGGCTTGGAGAAAGAGTGGCGTTTGTTACTCCAACTGCCTCCAAACAAGCTTTCAAGCTTTCCCGTTTTGGAGTTCCGGTTCGCCTTGCGGTGGCGCCATCTCCTTTCGAGGGAAGCCGACGGGACATGGGCGGCCGGCTTGCCTTAAGGCCTCAATGCGGAGCTTCAGCCTCTACGGGAGGCGCTCAAGGAGGTGCCGCGGGAGGGGCGTGGGGTTCAGGAGTGCGGCAGATGCGATAAGCATTGCAGGTGGGGAACAAGGGGAACCCTGTGGTTTTTCCTCGCAAGTCGGTTGGTTTTTGTGGTTGGGCTTTCTTTTCACCTGCAACATTTGGCAATCGACTCTGGCTTGGAGCAGTTGAGGCAGGGGGAATTTCTCAGTGGGGCTTTGCACAAGACCAAGCCCTCAGCCCTCAGGTCATCGCCTGGCCTAGGTTTCACACTCCAGTTGGCCCTTTCTGGCATCCCTCTTCTGTTTTTAAGGGCAAGCGAAGAGGCGATTGCCTCGCTGTAGTTCTCGTTGACCGGATCTCGACCTGTAGCCCGCTGGAGCCGCAGGTTGGCCGGAGATGTTCCATTGTTGCGCTGATCATTTGTGTTGCAGCCATTCAAAGGGAATGAGGCTGACATTCCCCCAACAAAAGCAAAAAACAAGCAAACACAAAAACACAGCAACCGCAACAAATGAAACACAGCACAGTCATGGCACGGACGTTCCTGGCTTTGCGAAGGCCGCGGGCTTTGCTTGCACTGCCGATTTTGGTGTCCATGACATGTTTCAGGTTGCAACATGGGGGACGCCCCAAACTAAACAGTTGGCTTCCTATTTCCCTTCAAAACTTTCAAAACTTTCAAAACCAGCCAACGGGGGGAGTTCCCGAACGAAGACCCGCCTTATCCCGCCGCGTGCCGGCACGCGTCGGGATGTGCTCCAGGTCCACGAGCTCCGCAAAGCGGCGCTGCTGCCTCTCGGTCTTTGGCATTTGGGGCGTCGGTCTTTACCCTTGGGATTGGCGTCTTCATTTTGGCACGTATGCGTAACATACCCATTCAGGTTTCCCAAATGTGGAAAGCCCCTCCCCAAAATAGGCTGGGCGTTTTCGTCGCTTTCCAACACTCATTTGGGCACCATAGCTGTTCATGAATGTCAACCCTGGATTTAAGTAATTAGATCCTAGACTAACAGGGTGTTGGCCCCAAAAGTGATCCGGACTCTCTCTCTCTTTCTCTCTCTCTCGAATTGGACACCCCATGAATCAACCAGGCGATTGTTCACCAGCTCGCATGAAATGCTTTCCGGTTGCCTCTTCCAACCGCCCGCGTCTTCTTTACCTTGTAGAAGCTTTGCGGGCCGCTAATGGAAAGGCGTGGGTGAGCGGCATCTCTTGGGCGGTGCACTTTGCTTGCTGGCAGCCGGACAGTGCGCGTTGATTCGAATGAGGGTTCGGTCAAAAGATTCAGTAGCCTATTGACGCAATTGAGAGCGACACGGGGGCGCCTGTTAGACGTTCCATGAACACCAAAGAACTCATTCATTTTCCCAAGTTTTTTTCGGGCAGCAGCATATTTTGACCGTGGTCGTATATGGCGGTGTGAAGCGCTCGCCTTTGACACTGAATTTGAACCCCTCAAAGGCACACGAGGATATACATTGAGGCCAGGCTGGCCTTGCGACAGCTTTGGGTCAGTTGCGCCCTGGAACCATGGCGAGTCTTGCTTTGCATGTAACTAGTAGTATGACCCTCCATCGGGGTCAACAGGGAGTCATCGACAAGCAACCGGCCTGACAGCCAGCTGAACTGCGCTCTTGCCGCTTGAACATGGCTCTATGGTGGCAGGTCGGCAGTGCCCATCTCCAAAACGGGCCACTGGAGGGAGACACGTGCTCTCTCGCCTAGCTTCGACAAGAGGCTGCAAGGGAGTCAAAGCCAAGTGTCCAACTGAGTATACAACGCTCGTGGCGACCTTCTTCAAACTACGGTCATCTTTCACATAGACGGAGGCCTTGAGAGGCGACATTTCAATCCGAGCTTCGGGTCTTCGCTTTCCGTTCCCAAGGAAAGCGCGGAAGGCGCAGGAGAAGTTGGCGAATGACTTCAAGACAGCCAAGGAGGCCCAGGCGCGTCAGTTGGCTAAGGGAAGCACCTGAAATCCCCGGCCGGCTCGGTCGCAGCCTAGCCCTTCTTTGTTTGGTGGCTTCCGCACTTGTCAACCTCGGCAAAGCTCGGACACAGGCACACTTTGGAGGGCTGGTTTTGGTCATAGCAGTTTTGCGACTTGACGTGGTTCAACTGACAAGGTTTGAGAGAAACCAAAAGCCTTGTGGCCTTGTCAAGAAAGTGGGTGAGCGCAGGTTTGCAGGTCTCGTTACTTGTGAAGGCTTGTGGAAGCACAACATTGGATTTTTAAGGATTAAAGCTTGTGATGTGGTTGTGTGAATTTGTCCACTGACTGCTTCATGCCAACATTTCCGTTCATCCCCCTCCCCTTCATCTAGCCCTTCACAGCCCCAGCTCTTCACCTCCCCCACGCTGAGCCACCACCCCCCACCAATACCTTTGCACCCGTAAACCCAAACCCCAAACCCCCCCCCCCAACAAGCAAGAGGGAGCCCTACAACCCTCTTTCCTACCCCATCAGCCAGACCCGCCCCCAAGATTTTATAAAATTTCATACCAATCACCCATATCAAAACCCATATAAGTTTCATAACACGTGCCTAACCAACCTCATAATCAAAATGCTTTGAGTTATTCATTTTATAGAATAACTTAAACCATTTCAAACATCCTTAACCTCATTCTTTTCTAAATTTTCTATGTGCTTCCTTGCTCGTTCGTGCCGTGCCTTGTGCTTTAATTTAATCTCACAATCACATACAGAACAATGATATTCTCTCTGTCCGTATTCTTTGTTTATTTCTCGTATTTCTTCCTTATGGTTGTCTCGGTATGTTTTTGAATATACTATTTGCTTGTCTCGGCACTTATCACAAGTTTTATGATTATCTGAAAATAATTCAATCTTTCTATGAACTCGGCAATGAGAACAACATTGTTTTTCCCCTTCATCTGCTACTGTTTCTTTCTTAATCGCTTCTCTTTTCAATTTCTTTATTTCTGACTTCCTTCTTTGCTTTTCACGGCATTTATCACAAGTTTTACAATTATCTGAAAATAAACTGTAATTCTTATAGCGTCCACACCCCGAGCAATATGTCTTATCCATAATCTTCTACTATAATAAGCCACTTACCCTTTAAACCGTTTTTAGGCAAAATGCTTACCGAAGTGGGTTGAAGTCCCCTTATCCAAAAACCCCCAACAACAAAGAGCATAACCAAAAAACCAAACAAGGAACAGAACACAGAACATTCCAAAACAACCAACCAACGAAACATTCCAAAGAACTTTTCAAAGAACCTAAACAAAACCTCAAACAAGAACAGCCCCCCTAAATCAAAAGTCCGAAAAACAACATGTTTAAGATAATTAGTAATTATCTTAACAATGGATTTGTTCTGTTATTCAAACATTTTCTTTCAAGATTAATCTGAAACCAAATGATTGTATGCCAAAATAGTAAAAAGTATCGTTTTGGTTTTGAATGATATTCTTCAACTTTTTGACTGCTCCGTTCAACACTTTGTTAATATTGTTTTCGTTTATAGTTTCATAATCATCATCATCGCTATTCAATTCATTAGAACAGAAACTTATGCTTAAACTTAAAAACATGCCTTCTTTATATTTGCGTTCTTTATGTCTTACTCTTATATCTAAAAATACATCTAATTTGGATTGATAGTCAGTGTTATGTTCTACTTCTTCATAGATTAAACTTAATATTTCCTCCTTTTGTTTGTTGATAATACTTTCAATGCTGTCCATTCCAAATGGCACTCTTCTTTCAATATCATATTCCCTTTTAACTTGTTTCTCTGTTCCTCCACCATTTAATTTTAGGTATTTGTATATTGTTTGTGGTTCAGTTGTTGTAATTTTGTAATTGTTTTGTATTCTCTTCAATGCTTCAATATGGCAACTTTTTATTTTTATATACTCAGGTTTGCCAAATTTAAAGGCATTAATATTACTCAATACTTCAACAGGTAAATTACTAATATCGCTCATATCTCTCTTAATATATATAGGCAATATGTCTTTAAACCCTTTTTAGTCTAAAACTATAATTTTAACATCTCATGCCTCAATAAGGGTTTATGAAAATCACTGACATTGTAATACTTCTGACCTAATTTAGTTTCTATTTTAGTTACGGTGTGAATAGTTTTCAAATAATGACTCGTCCGTTCTTTTTCACTAATTCCTTTTTTCCTCATAATCTTAACCTTATCTCCAATATCTAAATCAGGATACACACGGGTTTTTCTGGCATTCATTGATATATTCAGTTTGACTTCAAACTCATTCTTTTTCTTCCTTGCTTCTAATGGTGTCATTTTCGTAATAGAACTTACCAATTTATTATTATAAGTTAATAAGATTTCCAATATGTAGTCAGTCCATTGAATATTATTTTTACCTTTCTTCTCATCGGCATCAACTCTTTTGAAAAGCATATCTTTAAATGTCCTTATGAAACGTTCTCCGAAAGCAGGGTGCCCCCGTGTAGTGTGTAATTCAATTTTCTCTTCCTTCAAATAATCTGTAATGGTAGAACTAAACAGACTGCCTTCTTCGTCGCTGTATATTAATTTAGGTTTGCCATCCATCTTTTTTAATCCTTCCATTATTCCAGCTAATACATCAGCAGGTTGCTTACTTTTAATAGGTATAACAGTAGCATATTTACTGAATATATCAACTAATATTAATCCAACTCTAAACTTTTGATTATCCAAATCATTTTTTGAAATGAAAAACAAATCCAACTGGAATTCCCAAAAGGCATGAGGAGCAACAAAACTATTCTGTCCTCTTGGTTTTCTTTTCTCTTCAATATTATTTTTAAAGAATTCATTTACATCACTCATAGTAATTGTTTTGTCCTTCCTTCTTGCATCTTGTAAAGTTATTGCTTTGCTTCCATATCCGCTTTTGTCATAGTAAATATCACTAATTATTTTTTGTTTATCCATATAATAAATTAAGATTTATTATATTGATAATATTATTTATAATTTAAGTTCAGGATAATAATTTAATTGATGACTATTAAACTGTTGATACATCTTACCCCTTTCAAACATCATTTTAATAATAATATTAATGTCTCTCACTGTATTTTTAACATTAAACTTTTTACGTTCAATATATGTTTTTACATCTTCTTTTAAATCAAAGCCTGTCCTTCTATGATATAATAGCATCCATAATACACTGTTAATCATGTCATACTTTTTCTTACTGATTTTAAGAAATGCTCTAACATAACTATAAGGTGGTCTTTCATACACAGTTAAAAATATTATAATGTCATCTTCAACATTTGTTTTAAGAAACCTTTTATGGTTCAAATGACATTTGATTAATTCTTGATAAAACCTCCAATTTTTACAAATTCTACATTTTTCTTCGTCCAAAGCATAATCAATAATATTATTGATTATTCCATTAGGTAAATTTAATTTGTATAGTTCCATATTCTCTTTTTTGAAATGGCAACAGTCATAGCATTTCTTATTAATATAATCATTCACTTCTTGTTCCTTCATTACTCTCTACTATATATAGGTATTATGTCTTTAAGCCCTTTTTAGTCTAAAACTAAGATTTTAAAATAAAAATCTTAAAATCTTAATGTGCTGAAACATTACAATAGTAGCAATAACCGACGCAATTATCTATTTCATGGCTTGTATCATTACAAAGCCTTTGTGCGGTAAAATTACTACACAATTTACCTTGTTTAGTTTCAAAGTTAAATGGAGTATTACACTTCTGGCATCTGTTCTTGAAATTATCCAAGCACCATTCGGCAGTTATGTATTCCTCTTCATTGATTTCTCTCTTTGCTTTCCTATCCTGTATTTTATAATTTTCTACTTTATTCTTAAAATATCTCATTATCATATTTTTATTCAATTGCTTTTCAAAGTCATCATTCTTGAAAAATCTGACTTTTCTGAAATCAACGCACCTTGTAATAGAAGTCCAAAGCCACTCACGATTTACAAATGGTAAATTCCATTCATGAATTGTCATGCTTTCTTTCACACTTGCACCCTGTGAAGAATGGCATGTTGCACAATATGAATAAATGAAATTAGCATCTACAATAGGTTCAAACAACATAAATTTATCTTCTTCCCTTGCTATATTTTGTAATGTGATTTGTTTTCCTAATTCATCATCTTGTATATGTGTAATCCTGTATCTCAAATTTACATTCACCCTCGGCTTTTGTATCCATTTTCTGGCAATCAGAATATCACCTACTACATATTTGGCATTTATGTTTAATCTGTCTCTGATTTCACTTGCTACATTTCTACACCTAATATTAGTATAAGCGATGTTATGCTCTGATGCCATTATATCATTAGTTATTTCAAAATATTTAGGTATTATTTCATTGATAGGCAGGTTCTTTTCCCAGAAGTCATCATACATATCATTAATTATCTTCCTGTTCATGTCTCCTTCAACGCTGTCTTTTGCACCTACTCTCTTACATACTGTTAAAAAGATATTGTATTTAAAAATTGTATCTAAGCAATTATCCATATATGTCGCTGGGTCTTGGCAGTTGGTCATTGCTTCCACCCCTTGCAACTGCTTTACATCACCGGTAGCAACTACAATTTTATCAGGATTATTTTGAATAAATAACCTTACTTTATTAAGAACATACAAATTTGACATATAGATTTCATCAAATACAATTACATCAAAGGGCGAGTAATCATACTGTGGCAATTTCTCTCCGACATCTTCATGAACGGCAATGCTAAAAAACTTATTGTAAGTGGTGGCTTCTACTTCTTTTTCTTGTAAAAGCCGGTTAGTTGGAACTACAAATAAAACATTCTTATTCATCTTTTGAAAGTATTCGCCAATATAACTTTTGCCTGTGCCCGGGAATTTACCTTTTATAATCACTGGGTTTTGTTTAATAATCTTCTTACATATTTCTTCTGTATTCCATTCATCTTGA